AGTCCCTATGTCGTTTCGTACTGAGCCAACAGTTTACGCTTTCATGAACACAAACCGTTATCCTTCCATCACTATCTGATAGTTGTATCGTGTTCCTAGTTGACCGCAAGAAAGGGAACGACTCACGATCAGAAGTAGTAGCTGATTGGATAGCGGAGAGGATGGAATGGAGATCCTGGAGACGAAGCTTGCCCTAAAAAGGACCGAGGCAATGTTAAGGACCATAAAATGCCCAAGTCAAGAGCAAGCAGTAACTGTATGGAGAACAACGCACGGGTTGACTGTCACCAGTAGATGAGGAGGAACCAGTTGCTGCGGGGGCAGAATTGGAGGCAGGGATGGCGGATACGGAGCTTGAGGAGGCGGTGTGCATAGCCGGCGCCTCCACCCGACTAGAGAATGGAAGGCGACCAGTTGGTACCGGCAACGCTTGTGCCGAACTAACAGGTAGGATCACCAAGTCGGTGATGTGAAGATAAGAGTCCATCAATAACAACTACCGCAACATCCCTAATCCCGTTACAGCCAAAAAAACCAACAATGTTCAACTATCCTCAAACCTAAACCAATGCGCGCTCAGGCAATCCGTTAACAAGAAGCCATTTAATACAGCCACAACCATCGCAGATTGCTGAGAGATAAGTCCCACGTATACCAAATTGGAATCAAATACGAATGCTGGAACAACGCATAAACAGGATGGACAATGAATGCGTTAACCTACATCAAACATTAACGTTATAAAATGAAGACAATAAACAGCAGTTCTCTAGATCGAAGCAATAACTGGAAAACCCAAAGCGCACCTTTCACCCTCTGATGAAAATCCGAAGCCCATGCCCATGGAGAAAAGTGTAAGTAGATCGTTCTGGTTCATGCCAGAGAGGCCCCGCATTCCACTGAAAAAATCGGCCATGCGTCCAGCGGAGCGCGAAGAGACCAAACTTCCAGCAACCGAGCTGCCGATGGGTGCAGGCGGGGTGTTAATGAACTTATTGACCGTCTCGCAGATTTGTGCATCGTTACTGGCGTTGGGCTCCTGCATCCACAAGAAAAAGCGCCGTTGCGGCGCGCTCAACTTAAGCACAAAAACCCGGCCCGATTTACACTGCGGCACAGGCTTGAACTCGGCCTCACGAGGTACCAGTACAAAATTCTCCTCAATGAGGCCAGTACGGCGGTCGAACCAGCAAAAGTGCACACTGCAATCGCCAGGTGTCTGGTAGAGATAGGCGCAGCCCTTACGTGCGTCTGCGTGTACACTGTTATCCGGGTTCATAGTCATCTTCCCTGCCTTGAATTGAAGCAATGGGCGAGCCTGCGGTTTTGACGGCTGGCGATCGAACAATCCAGTGCTCATTCTTGATCGCCAACTAAATTCTAGCATCAAAGAACGTGCATGCGTTAACAACTTAGAATTCCTATTTTATCCACCTTTTTAACTAAGTAAGGAGCTACAGGAGCTCCAGACGCTTTCACGCTTACACCAAACTCTACTGGACTCCATGTGGACGATTTGTGATCTAATTAAGCCACAGTCCTCACTCAAGATTTTAAGGCATAAAGTTATCGCTTCTGATCTTCCATTGCCATCAACTCTTATGATAGCTACTGCATTTTAAAGGTCCTCCTGGCTAATCAACCACATTCATGAGTCCCCTGTCTTCGAGATCTAAAATTCAAGATTTAAGGCTATCCTAGTTTTACACGGGACTAACTCCTAAATCCAAGAATGCTGAATGCTAAAAATTATAACCGTTTCCATGACCTAACATATAAACGCTCCATGACAAGTAGCAGCAACCCAGATGGATTGACTGACCTATAAGATTTCAAGCAACTTTATTTACATGCACTACTTTGAGAATAAATAACCCAATACTCCATCCTGGAGATAACATACAATTGTCAGAACCACTGAACTCTCATCCCAGTAGAGTAATAGTGAAATCAGGGCCGAAAATTAATTCACTCAGAAAACACACTTAAATAACGGAATTACGATCAGAAATAAGTGCAATTATCGCTCGGTTAACACCAATAAAGACCATACAAAAGGGTGTGTTTAAAAGGCATTTCAAGCCATCCTCAGCGGAGGCTGTCAAATGAATTACATCACCAAGACAAATCGACAAACGCTAAATTCTTAATGCTCCAATCTTCGGCTTTCAAGTCTATTGTCAGTGACTCCAGTCCAATCATAAGAGCGATCAGCGAGGCTCACAAGCACTTGAGATGTGCTCAAAAACAACACAAACTAACCACTCATTATCCTTTAAAAGGCACAATCGAACTTCTCCGCATAGAAAAAGAAAGGTGAAACAGAATAAAATTTCGCCCATCAGGTAAGCTGAAATGCTCGTTAATACTCTCTTCCAAGGATATAAAACTAGAAGTGCCACAGCAACAGTGACATGGCAAAAAATTGTCGTAGATCATGCAAACATCGCGACCCCAACTTTGGACATATACTCAAGCACATATATGAAGCATCATGGGTGAGAAATAACTTTTAAACCACATTTAAAAGCCCAGCAGGAAACCACTCAACCTGCATGTATAAACGAGAAAAAGGAACACATCTGAGTCTACCAAAGGTCAAGTTAACGACAGAAATCCTTGCTTTGGCAGAGCATTGGAAATCGGTTTTATAGTTTTATAGTTTGAACTGTGAGATTACTGCACAGACTACCTTACCGACATTCATTTTAAATCTAAATAAGGGTGACAAGGAAGAGCAACATGATCGCAATGGCTCTAATGAGACAAAAAGATGATTTTGCATA